AGGTCAAAAATCAAAAATTGTCATTTCTCAGTCAAAACCCTAATTTTGACCATTTTGCCCTTTTGATGATCTGGTCAAATTTCTTAAGGAATTGTGGTCCAAACTTGATAAAATGATACATATGAGTTTATAATGTTGAAATGGCTAAAAAATTATGAAGTTTGACTGTAAATTGACCACAGTTGACTTTTTCCCCAATACAGCTGATTTTTAGGTCAACTGCTCAATTGACTGAGCAAAAATGTGATCCAAGACTTGAAACTTGACATGAGTAATCTTGAGGGTCCATGATGATCCATGAAAGTCATATGAGGCATTAAAAGTTCAATTATCCTTGTGCAATCTCAAACCCTAATTTCAGTCATTAATGCTTAAAGAGGTGTCTTGAGCTGATCAACCCTTGTGCAATCTTGAACCAAAGAAAATCTTGTGGGAAAATATTTGATTAATGAGAGGGAAAATTTTGGGGTACAACACATATGAATCCCATTTTGAATCATGTTATCTTATATTGTAATAACATTATGCATTTTCTTCCAAGTCACTTAACATGTGGTATGTAGGAATCTCAAATGAATTTTGTCCAAGAAGGCTCAATGAGATTCCTCCTTATACATTTGCATGCATCTTTAAAAGATATATCACCATTTACATATCATGTCAAAATGAATTTATCAGCAGCAATATTATTAAATGACAAGTTAATCTTCAAAATTGCTTTCATAATTTGATGAGCTGAAATGAATAAGCCACAAGAATTATTCTAATTGATATCTTGGATAATTGAATTAACCTTAACAATTTGTATAAATTTAAATATCCAATATAAATACTAGGTGTAAATCTTTAATTTTGTATCCCAACAAATTATGGATCCATAACTCAATGTTCTTCCCATTGCAAATGTGTTGTTCGTTATGTTCCTCTAGAAAAGAAAGGAAATGCTTAATGCAAGGCCATATAGAAGAATAAATATGATTCATGATTCCTATTTTGTGCCTCATGTATTTACTAATAAGCATAAAATACCATTAATTATTGATAGCCAATAATTTCCAACAAAGAGATAAACAACCAGATTTATTTATTGTCTTAATATCTCTAAGACCAAGACCTCCTTTAGACAAAGATGAGCAAACAATCTTCTAAGATGTAGTAATCAGCTTTCTACTGTCTATGCTACGTCTCCATATAAGATTTTTGATGCAAGGGTCTAGTTTGCTCAGAAGATTGATTGAGCAATCATAAATTCCAAGACTATACAAAAGCATGCCTTGTATGACAGACTTGACCAATTGAACCTATCCATCATAAAAAAGGTGGCATCTTTAAGCAGTTATCTTGACCAATACTATATATTCCATGATCTGAAAATGAATAGTTCTAGGCTTACCTTTGAATATATGAACTTCAAGATAGTTAAATAGCGTCCGTCCCACAGTGAATCCAAGCATATATTCAATATACCTCAAACTAGACTCATAAGTACTTCTGCCATAAAGCTTATATTTAGTTTGACTGATGTGTTGACCATAATTCTAACCATATTTTTGAAGGAGATGGTTAATGACTTCAACATTTTTTCTAGTATCTTTGTAGAATATCATAAGGTCATATGTAAAAAAGTATGGCTAAGAATGATTATCTTACCAACTGATAGGCATGTTAACTTACCCTAATCCAACAACACAAATAAATGTCTACTAAGTGTCTCTTCATCAATGCAGAATAACGAGGGAGAGAATATCTCATTGCCTCACTCCTCTAGAGCATTTTTTTTTGCAGTTTTCCCATTTATCATGATTGATAGTTTGACTGAGTGTGGAATGCTTAGAATCCAATCACAAACCTTTTGATTAAATCTAAGTTTAATAAGAACTTTAATAAGATATTATCAATCTAAACTATCAAAGGAATTTATGATGTTTATCTTCAAAATCATATTACTTCAAAAAGATTTCTTGTCCAATATTATAATGGCTTCTGAAGTAATTTTCAATGAACTCATAAATATGTTTGCCCTTAATGAAGTTTATTTGGTGTATAGAAACAATTTTAGCAACTAAGATGGTAAATCTATCTACAATGATCTTAGTGATGATTGAATTGAAAATTTGTAAGTACAAGATGTATATACTTTCCAATAAAATATGCTTCTTGTCATTTAGGTATCAAAGATTGAATTGATATTAGAAAGAATTCAACATTTTTAAAAAAATGGTTAAATATGTCAGGGATCCTCATAAATATGAGAACCTACAATTTTAGTCCCTCTAAACATTTTCTTTAAACAATGATTCTCGCAAACTTTTGTATCCCTAAAATTGGTCCCTCACGTTAGTTTCCACTAATGGAGGCTTACGTGGCATGCCATGTCACTTAAATGCAGAAAACCACTTTAGATTGCGGGGGTTTTAAACCTCCGTAAATTTATCCATCAACAAACTTTCAATAAGCTCAGCCATGAAACACATTTTTTGTTCAAATTTATTGATAAGCTCTTCCCAAGCTGCTTTATTGTACTCTTCCGTGATTGCAAATATGGGAATTTTGACAGGGTACTCATCTTTCAATTGCTTAAATGCTTTCAACATGGTTTTAAGTGTTCTCTCACTAACAAGTCCAATGGTCTCCCACCCAATAAGTCACAACCATCAAACTTTCATTCTTATATATAAAAAACTGTTATGGATTTATTACAACTGAAAGTGATTTATTACAGCTGCTCAATCAATTTAATTTGTTGCACCTATGAAATAACAGTAATAATAAAGAGTACATAATAATATTGACAAGAAGAATACAAATTCAAAAGCTATAAGAGTACAACAACAACATTTCATTTACGCATCACACAAACCACATTGAGGACATAATCATGTTGACAAGAAGAATACATATTCAAAAGCTATAACATTAAAAAAGTAACATTTCATTTACACATTACACCAAACACCTTGTGGCAATCCAAATTTTGTTCTGACCCAAAAGAAAATCTCTCACTTCTTTCTTTGTTTTTTATTCATCTTCAAGGTATTTGTTTTAATGATGTTGGTTGACCTGCGATAATTTGTTGCTTACAGGAAGCCTTTAGATTTGATGATTGTTTACTATGTTAAGTTGACTGAAATATTTTGGATATCTTCAAGTTATTTATATCATACATACGCTTGGTTTAAACTCTTTATGTTAGAAAAGAGCTTCAACAAAAACCTGAGTTTCCTGCTTCACTAATTATAAAAAGTTGTGACATTGACATCAACTCTTTGTAGTTCAATGGGAAGCATGAGATTCACTAGGCAAATTTATAGATTCTATATACGTCAACATGTGATGTTTGGTTTAAGGGTAAATAAAATGACGAATAAGTTCTTTCTTTGTGTAATTATGTTCTTTTTTGTCTTTACTATGTACAGTTAGTTAATTTATTAGGCTTTATCGCATACCAAATTTTCAATTAAGCCATTGAGTAAGATTGCTTGAATTGTTTATTCTAACGTCTTCCTCATTCATTATCTATACCTTTTATTGGTGTATTTTTCACGTGGTACTTTTGCAAAGATCATTGTATCCATTAAATAATGAATGAAAATTTAACACTTTTATAAGATTTTATTTGAACACTGAAAAACAGAGAGAGAAGAAGATGATGTTATTGGATTTAAATAGAAGGACTTTAGGGAGGTTTATAACCCCGTTAGCTTTCATTAGAGAAAGTAAACGACAAGGATTAAAAGTGAAAACATAAAATTTTAAGAGGGACTACAATCAATATTTTAAAAACCGAACCGAACGGTTCAACCGGTTGGACCGGGAATCAGAGATGAATCTGGTTGGTTTAACCTTTTAAAACCACTAGTGGGACAAAACGGGAGTAAAATCGAAAAAATCAGATTGAACCGTCTAAAACCAATCAAACCAAAGAATTGGAGTTGGTTTTGTAAAATCGTCCGATTCAAAAAAATACATCGATTTGATCATTTTTTAATATTTAAAAAAATTTTAATATGTCAATATCAAAACTTAAAATATTATATTGTTTATTTTTGGTATACTATCTTATTTAATTTAAGTATTCTTAATTATTTAAATTTTATATTACTTATTATGTTCTATTATTTTAATTTTGGTTTGAACTAGTTTAACTTGTTCAAATTATTCTTAAATAAAGGTTTAAATGAAGTGTATAACTATGTTGTGTTATTATATATATCATCGATATTGTTGTATTAAGTTTGTAATAAATTTTTAAAATATTTATTTTATTAAGTTATAAACATATGATTATATGTGACAGATCTATGAAATTTAGTTTCATATTATTAGTTGATTTAATAAACGATTCGATTGTATGTTTAACCAGTTGAATCAATTAAATTTTAAACTGAAAGTTATACCAATTTGATGTCTAGTCTGATTTTTAAAATATTAATTAAAATTAAATAATAACTTATTTGTAAGGACGAAAAACATATTTAAACCTTAAAAAAAATTAATTCACTTAATTGAATTTTAATGAATAATAATAATTGTATAAATAAGAGTTGTAAAATTGGAGTAAAGATAAATTTATTTTATTTCTAATCAAGTAAAGATAATTTGATAATAATATAACTTTGGATCAATTGGTGATATAAAATTTACTTTTACTTCTTTTTATTTTATTTTCTTTGCAAGTAAATTACATCTCCCAAATTAGTTTTCTTCTCACTCGCTTACTTAAAGTATCCCGCGTTTGCCCTAATCCGTCACCGCCGTCCGTCCCGCAGCAACTCGCCGTCTCAAGGTTTGATCACCGTTTCCTCGCAACTATTTCAAACCCTAACTCATCAATTTTATTCAATTTTTCCATCAATGTTGCGAAAACAACTTCAAAAACGATATTTTATCATTCAATACTCTTCTGTATGTGTTGCTTTTGCTCCAAATTTTGATAGTTATTAACCATAGTTTAACTTGTGGTTGCTGTAATTGTTTTTTTGTTATCAATATTAGGTTACATGGAAGATTCAGAGCAAAGAAGAAAACGGTTGAAAGAAATGCGATTGCAAGCTGATCTTGCTGAGGATTCTGGTGGTGGTGGCGGTGGTGGAGGTTCTGGTACGCAGGGTGTTCTTTCGAATCCATTGGCTGAAGCTCCTTCGACTATGCTACCATCGGATGCTGCTCCAAGATTTAACTATTATACAGATCCAATGAATGCGTTCTCTTCTGATAAAAGGAGTACTGACAATGTTAGGGCACAAGGGCCCGAATATTTGCCTCCCCCTCCTCCTTTGAATTTTGGTGGATCTCCTATGGCACAGTTTTCGTCGCCGCATACAGGTATCCTTTGATATGAGATAATGATTTATTATGGAATTGTTAGAGTCCATATAGATTCATATTACATTATCTTAGTAAATAGTTCGGACACAGACACAAACACCGGCCACTGACATTGAGACGTCTGACACTGAGACGTTGAATTAATAAATTGAATGGAATCACAAGTGTCGGTATTAGTATCATTCACCGATACAGACACAGACACACCAGTGTCGGTCATTGAAATTGTATGCCATGATCAACTTAATCTATACATCATCATTCTTTCGCGCTGGTTTCTGAAATTTTAAAATGTTAATTAAGTTGGTCAGTTTGTTGGGATTTGTAGGAACTATAATGATGTTGAGTTGAAAATGTGGGGATGAATTTGAAATTGAGTGAATGGTGGTAGGGATACATTTGATAACAAATTCAGACAGAGGGATGAAATTGGTTAATATTTTGCAATTCTATGGGTCATATTAAAGTATTGTGAATGTGGTGGAGGACTAGGTTACTTGATACAATATTACAATTTTAGCGACTAATTTGAATATTTACTCAACATTAAAATACTATATATTAGGACTTTGTAACCCTAACCCTGCTTCCATTCTTTTTAGAGTAACCCTTCAAATATTTATTTAGTTTGCGGAAGAATGTGTCCATCAATAGCCTACAATCTGCACTGTTTTTACAATGTTTATCAATCAAGGAGGAACTATAGTCTAATAATCTTCCAACTTCGAAGAATACAAATTTAACCTGAGGGACTTGATTGACTCAAGTTTGGGTATATTGGTTTATTGAATAAATTTTGATGGATTTATTTTGTAATCCCAATCTTTCAAGGAACAAAAATATCATCTTGCTTTTTAATATATAAGAAGTCTCTCTGGCATGTTTTTATTAAAATATTATTGAGTTAAAGCTGAAGTTCCACATTGATGAGTTATTATTGTCTTGTTATGATCTTTAGTATTTTCTCTCATGTACACTCTAATCACTGTGTAGATTTCCATTTATATATTTCTTGTCTGACAATTCACATTGATTGATTTGAAATAACAGAATCAACAAATCCACAGATGTCTCCTTCTCCCACTCAAGCATTGCCAGCACCCTATAGAAACTCAGTTTGGAATGGACCAAGAGGCCCTCCTCAGCATAACTTTCCATTCCGTCCATCAGGTGGTGGTACTTATCCAAGTCCTAGGTTTGAACCACTGGGCGGCCCATCATACAACAATGCACCAGGCATGAATCAATGGCCCAACCATAATCCAAATCCTAGGTTTGTACCACCGGGCGGTCCATCATACAACAATGCACCAGGCATGAATCAATGGCCCAACCAAAATGCAAATCCTAGGTTCGAACCACCGGGTGGTCCATCATACAACAATGCACCAGGCATGAATCAATGGCCCAACCATAATCCAGATCCTTCTTCAGGATACAGTCCAAATCATTCTGACGGATATATTCCAAATCCTTCTTCAGGGTACAGTCCAAACCATTCTCCAGCATTCAGGAACAGTCCTAACACTAGTCGAGGGCGAGGCAGAGGCTTCTGGCATAATACCAGAGGCCCTGTTTCAGGACCTGGTGGTAGACAAGGATCAGGTTCTCATGGTCGCTGGTCAAATGAAGACAGAAGTTGTGGTCCAGAACGATATTACAAGAGGTCCATGATCGAAGATCCATGGAAGTGTTTGAAACCTATTATATGGTGTTCAACATATCCTTTTTCAAATATTTCATTTACACCTGAGAATTCAAAACCCCGGGCTCCTTCAGAATCTACAAGTACAAAAAGGGAGGGACTGCCTGCTGCTCGTAGTAAACCCAGTTCTGAACCAAGCCTTGCTGAGTACTTGGCTTCCGCGTTCAATGAAGCTGCCAACACTGAAGAATAATGTATGATGAAGACTGCATTCAATGCATTGGACTCAGCTATGCTGTGCAGCGTTTGTACTTTATACACCAAACACCCAGGAGGATGTTTCAGGAATGTGTTAGGTTACTAACATGAATGATTAGTGGCAGATAGAAGGTCCAGCACGATACGTGTAGAAACTGTTAAAACTGTGCAACCACATTTTGAGCGTTGTGGCTGTGGTTGATTAATGTTTAAGTTTAATAAATGCTTTGGCATAAGCTGACATACTGAACTTGAGAAGCATATAATGATGACCTCGATGATCAGAATGATTAGGCTGGAAAAATAATGGTTTTATGTACATTATAGAATTGCAATTTTTTATACTGCATGATTAGAATATTGTAATCGTTGTCTGTTTAGGATTTCTGCTACTCGGAACTCCCAATTTCAAAGTACTTGATGTATTCACATGATATTTGATAGTGTTGGATAAATGAACGACTTTATTAACAAGTTATGCATAAGTTGTTGAGAATTTCTTTCTACATCTAGTGCTTTTCTTCAGGATTTCTGGTGAAATTTTCAAAATACTTTTGGAAGTGCATCTTTGAACGAACTACCAATGTGAATTATTATATTTATTTTGGATATGTATATCTGAAGTCACCATATTTGACAAAAAACAGGTGTGTTCGCATGTGTGCATGTGCATATTTGAAGTCTGTTTAATTTGTAAAAAGGTGACTTTGAATGTGCATATCTGAATTTATCCTATAATATATGATTTCGGAGATGCATATTCGAAATCAGTCTGTTGTTTTCAAAACGACGAACAGAACATACTCATTTTCATTCAAACACAAAATCTCCACTTTTCTACACCAAAACTCTTAATTTCTAATATCCAAACTTGAAGCACTAATTCATTTCTACTCATCTCCCCATTTCAAGTCATTCCAACTTATTCCCAAAACTTCAAGTTTGTGTAAGTTTTCTCCATTTCTATTTTATTCACTATGCAATGTTATAATAGTTTATTAGGTTAGTTAGAATCAATGACATTGTGTAGATTGCTATTAGAATAGTTAAATTTTGGTGTTTGGGTGACAAAAATTATATTTGAATGATTTAGGACAAGAAGAAATTGCTTCTTGAAAATAGGTTCGCATGTGGTTTCTGAAGTGCACATCCGAAATTCTCTTGGATCAGTTTCAGATGTGCACATTCGAATTCTTGCCTTAGTTGTTTATTTATTTATTTAAAATTAACAATTTAAATTAATTTTTCAGGATTATGACGGACAACCAGGACAGGAACAATCGTTTGAGACAAGGGAGGCCAAGCCAGACTGTCTCTGCTCGGAGAGAGACAAAGTTGTGCAGCAGATTATCAGGTCTCGAGGACGGGGTTGAGTACAACAGGAGAAAAGGGCTGGAAGTTCTTCTTCTGCACCGAGGAGTCGTCTGTCTCAGACGTCTACCTTTCGTGCGCATGAGCAGATACCAGATGAGGAGGTTTCTGAGTAGTTTAAGGTACCCGAGAGGGATGAGGTTCCCGAGCATGTTGAGGTACCCGATCATGTTGAGGTATCCGTAGAGGACATCAATTATCTAGTAGGGCCTTATGACACCTCCCTATTAATCTATTATAATGATCATGCCGCTCGGCATGTTTGGGATGGAGAGGTATTTTGTGGTTACACTTTTTCATTATATAGGTTTAGCACAAATTTATAATTAACGGTTATTATTTTTTTGATTTCAGGAACAGTTGTCAATTAAGTCTGTGAATCACTCGCGGAAAATATTTGAGTTGTTTATACCTGCGGCAGCTTGGTTCCATGAGGTCGTTACTGGATCCAGACTTTTTGGACTATGTTGCACTATTTACAGTACTATAAGCCACGACATGCAGGGGGAATTTGCCGAGAGGTGGCACAAGGAGACGCCGTCTTTCCACTTTCCTGTTGGGGAAATGACAATCACACTTGATGAAATTGCTTGCTTGCTCCATCTACCTATCAGAGGGAGGTTATTTAACTATCACAAGATAACACGAGCCGAGGCGATCGAATGTGATTGAGTATATGGGTGCTGATTCATATAGGGCAATTGAGGACTGTAGAAACACAAATGGGACGCATGCAAAATTCGCGCACCTGAAGGATCTATATAAAGAGCACCTGCTTGCAGCAACAGTTTTCGAGGATGATGGTGATGAGGTTTTTGTCCAGTACCATCGAGATTGTGCTTTACGGTGTTATTTCATGTTTATGGTTGACACATCCATCTTTGTGAACAAAAGTGCATACTACGTAGATGTGACATACCTCTAATATTGTATGGATCTGAGTACTGTTCATGAGTGGAACTAGGGAGCCACTATTTTAGTATACCTGTACCAGAAGCTGAATGAAGCTTCAAGGTGGAGAGTGAGACAGCTCACTGGTTCTTGCACATTCCTCACGATACCTTTCATTTCAACTTTTACCGTTAACTTTTTTTTATAATTTGTACTTACATATTCTATGCTTTCTTCTTCAGAGTTGGATAATCTCTCACTTCCACCATATTCATGGTTTCGAGCCTGATCCGGGTAATACTGATGACATGCTGAAGACTGCAAAGTATGTCCTCCATAGAGGGAACCATAAGGTGCTGCTTTACCGTGTGTATCTTGATAGTACTAACCATGATGACATTAAATGGATGCCATTTGAGGATTACAGGGATGTTGTCCCATTCGACCCCATCTCATTATACTCTGGGTGGCTAGCATGTGGGTCGAATCTTATGGTCAGGTATCTTCCAGAGAGGTGTATCCGGCAGTTTGACTTTGTGCAGATGATACTGAGATCTTCTTTTCAGGCTGCTTCCGACGGGATCTTGATGCCATCTTTTAGGATTGGGAGAATCATTTGGTGCCACAGGAGTATCGGATGATGCCGACATCCCTGAGTTGGCATTGCGTAGAGGGTTACGTGACATGATTCTTTAACGTGTCACACCCTATCATGACACCGGATGGTCTTGGACGACCACCTAGGCGAGGAGATTTTGGAGAACCAACAGGTTGAGGAAGACCATGTCACTGATCTCATACCGATTTGTCAACAAATACACCTATTTGGACAAGAGGCATTGGATTCTGATATCATCGAGAGAGGTGGTCCTGAGGCGGTTGCTATAGCTGAGAGGATGGTTAGGGAGGCATCTGGTGCAGTACAATACAATCGGTAGAGGAGGTCACAAGGAGTGAGGATCAAACATACGCAGTAACAATAGCCTATGTTATGTTTTGTTTTTTTGTTACTGATGTATTATTTTTACATTACGCACTTTCCGAATAACTTATGTACTAAATTATGTTTTCATATATTTGAACATCTAATATAATCGTTATGAATTTTCCGTAATGTTATGTTCGTTTCATATTTTCGAAAAAAATTGTCCGTTTATATGGTAAGGTAACGGTGTTGTTGTAACAAGAATGAAACAAACTGATGAAGTTTCGGAGATGCACTTCTGGAATCACCTATCAACATATTTCAGATGTGCATATCTGAAACTACCTCAAAAATTCTAAATCCAACATTTATGTTATAAAATCTAGAAAAATGGTGTCTTCGGAGATGCGCTTCTAAAACATGTTGATAGGTGTGTTCGGAAGTGCATCTCTAAAATATATTTTCAATTTTGCAGAGGTGATTTTCACCACTACTAAATGTAAAGATAAATTCTCTAAATTATTTCTATAGCAGTAAAAATATTATAAAATTAAAAATATAAGTATGTTGTTTTATAACTTACGGAATTTATTAAAAATAATTATGTATATAGTGCGAATTATTTAATTTTTTTGAAGTTTTCTTGAACACTTGCACGCAACGCATACAATACAACTAAAAGCAATTTGTCCCTGAGCTATCCATAATCTATGCTAAGTTGATTCAGAATTAAAATATACTTTTACTACACTTCCTAAGAGTTCTTTCTTATGAAATTAAATTTTATAGAATTTAATGAAGCAGATGAATCTCGCTTTATAAACTTCATATTTGAAATATCATACATCATCTCTATCTAATGCAAAAAAAAAAAAAATTGTTAGAAAGCATGTTGTTAAGATTTCTTTAAAAGACAATAAACTAGGTCACCACAGCACTAGCCAGATGGAGGAACAATTGAAAAATCTGATCCATGTACTGATCCTACAATTCCTACAAACTTCAAACATCGTTATGAATATCCAGTGCCATTTAGGTTCAGTGGAATCAAACCAAGAACAGAATATTTAATGTAGAAACTAACTAGCTCCCCTAAGATTTATGCTCACAACAAATTTCGTCGGTGAAAGTGTGTATTAGCTGGTCTGCTAAGCTTGCAGGGTCGTCAATCAGTGCATCAACAAAAGCACTAACCACCCTTCTCTCTTGCTGATTAGCCTTGAGACTAAACCAAGTTAGAAACTTCACTCTAAATATTTCATCTATGTGCCCTTGATGCTCCAACCACTTCACTACCCTCACAGAGTACTCATAATCGTTCTCCTTCATGCGCTTTCTAGAACTCAAACCAGTAATTTGTCTCATTTCATTCGGTTTAGAAGGCGTCGCAGGTGGAACTGCTACAAAACTCTTACACGAAAAAGGGTCTGTCGTTGAAGGCTTTGTCAGAAACTCTTCAAACCTGTCCCTGATGTTTAAAAGTGCAGGTTTTTCAGAAGCCATCTTAATTTGGTCTTGTGAATATTTGTTGTTCATAGTTGAATGGTTTCCAATTTGTCGAATAAATTTTGATGGCTGTTCACAAGGTGTCACCCATTTAGCTTCTGCTGCACCCAAAATCCCCGTGCTGCTGAATATAGAAGCCTTGCAAGAGTACTCGGTTGCAGGTGTGAGGTTTTCTAACTTGAATCTTTTCTCCGGCCTCAAAACAATGAAAGTCGGTTGTTCTGGGTAGTCCATTGATGATATTCTGTGCCAAAGCCTGCAGCCTAGAAAGTTCTTTAAGAGTTTGTCTTTGTATTCAAGCACAATGACCACTGAGGTGGGAAGACACTCTTCAAAATGTAAAGAGCATGCTGCCAAAAGTAAAGTGACAAGAAAAGCCAAATTAGAGTGGAGGTTAATAAAAAAGCAAAATCATCTAATACAATGTTGTTAAATAGCGGCGCTGTAGCTGCTATTATTCTGTAATATACTATCTAGTACAAAATGTTTTCAAATAGCGGCTATAGTTATAGTTGTGCCATAGCACTGTTGCGTAGCGGAATTTGAACAAGCTGTTGTTTTCCACTATCCCCATTTGACAATTCTAAGACTAATACAATGAATATAATGCTACTATGGATTCAAAATTTCAAGAATCAACAGCAATCAAGGCTCTTTGAACTTTGACTAATGTACTAAAGTGCAATTAACATGAAAATCCTGAGGATTTCTGGCTCTGCCGGGCAATTAAAAGCTCAATCAGCTGACCTTCATACAAAACAAAAAATTAAAAGCTTACTTGGTACTTCTTTCTTTTCTTCACAACTAGAAAAGAGTTCAGAAAACTTTAAATCAAAACATTCAACGGCAGAAGAGCACAACTTCTGAACCTCAGCACCACATGAGAGCCTGCTCACAATTCCACGTGTCATCCTAGCGTATACGTGATCCAGAGGTCCAGCTTCATTCTCCAATAATTTGAGAGCAGTTTCTACAATCTTATGCACTTCTGTGTATACTTTTGTTCCTGTGAGAATTCTGTGGGCCAAGGAAATTCGCAAAGAGAGTATATCCACTCTTCTTGCTTCTCTGGCAACCAATAATTGCTTTCTCCATGTCCTAAAAAATCCAAATATACATTCAAATAAACGACGTTTTACACAAGTTGCCTTAAACAGCTGAAGAGAAACCAGTAGGAACAAAAATTTTCCCAAATATTTATTAAGTAATTGACGGGATTTGTGCGTCTACGTGTATGCATCTATTTATGTATATCTTACTTTTGTGTGTGTATAAAATAGTGTGTAAACGTCTGCAAATCCTAGCTCAACTTGCAGAAGCCGATATTGCTAGATTGGACGCCATCACTAGGGCTCGAACCTGGCACTCAGGGTTGTGTGTGAGTTTCTAGTGGTTATTACCACTTCGTCTACGGACCCAAAAAAAAAGTGTGTAAATTACTTACGTCATTAATTCATTAATTTTCCCACAAGAAACACAACAGAAGCTTCCATCCAAGGTTACACCACGACTTCCCTTCAAAATGCAAGACATTTGATTACTCAAAGCACATTGCAAATGACACGACATTCCACATGACTCTTCATTCGGTTTATCAGAGGTGCAGGTCAACCACAGACTAGGATCCTTGTTATCGTCGTAACAGCGACATATACAACAAGAACATCTCTTGCAAAATGAATCTTCTGGATTCAGTGTAGCTTTGCATGCAACATTCCGACACACTAAGGTTTTTGTAGTTTCCTCATTCGTGTTCTCTAGTTGAACATTACGTAAATCCAGAGATGTGGGTCCTTTTTTCCTTTTAGATCCTACGAAACTTTTGGCAGGAGAATGAGCAGGAGCATTATGGTCGATGTACAAGTTGGATTTCTTAGAAATTAATTTCAGAAGATATTCTATCATCTGACCCTTAGTATATCCCGTGTACTTCCTTTCTTTGCCTAATTCAGCACAGATTAATTCTAGGAGTTCCCGGCGGGTAAATGATTGAAGTATTTCCGGGGCATCTTTGGACTGACAAGCAACTTCGTGGACCAGTTTTTGCTTCTCTTGGAAATTCATAACACCGCATTTTGCAGGGTCAAAAAAACCTATATTGAAAAATGAACAACATTCTTAAGTTTATATTATCTCTGTGAAGTGAAAAATAAATGAAGTTCAACATGACTATAAGGAAATATTTTAATAAACCTCTGTCCTCTATAGAAAATTTGAACTGTGTTTATCATCTTCCTAAAATATCTACTATGTATAAATAAAACACCTTAATTGACGACAATTGTACCCAAAAAGGTGACGGCAACAAAATCGTCATGTTAAAGGTGTAAGCTATAAAAGAAAAGAGTTGTGTTAGGTGTTGCAGCCAATGGCAGCCGGAACAGAATCTTCCATGCCATAACCTCACGGCGACAATTTGCAACACTTGTCAAAACGACGAAGATAACAACAATAACAATAGTCTGTTAACATTACAAACCCCTTACTACGCAATCCTAAACATTTGTATTAAAAAATCACTATTATATTAACTTCTACCACAATTTGATCCACTTCAGTTCCAATGCACATTGCACTATTGTGATTGGTGAATTTTAATATATCTAGCTAAACACACTTCTTTGAATCCTTCAACTTTCCTAACTCTAAATTTTTCTTATCACGAGATGGCAGGGCAAAGCCAGTAGGTACAAAATCTTACAAGCCCTTCCTATGTGAATCGAAGGAGGTCCTATAAGACAAATCCTCACAAACAGGGATACAGAAAAACAGCATTCAGATGTCAATAACCATACTTTCTATGAAAATCATCCCAAAACAAAACCTATATCAGCTGCATTATCAATTTCACAATTAAAATTACAAGTTTCAGAACTGTCAAGTAACGTCTATCTATACAAGTTGGAGCCCCAAAAATGCAAATCATTCTATAATTCATTCTCAACCACAAATGCTCACCCAAACACATTCTATAAGTAGGAATTAGACATGTCCAGAGTCGTCTCAAGGTTAGTCACAATTTAACCATGAAAAAACAAATACAGGTCCTATCGGTAACAGTATCTTATAACGCCATATTTAGCCACTGTTAACAGTGACAAACTTTAGACTTGTGTGGTAGCCCGCAATATCTTATAAGCCCTATTTAGCCACTAACAGTGACAAACTTTAGACTCTGTGCCGTATCCCACAATATCTTGCAAGCCCTATTTAGCCACTCAGTGCAAACTTTAGACCATCCACGGTAGCCTGTCTTACATGCCCTCAAAGATGACCCTGGACATGTCTCAAACACCAGAGACAAAATATGAATGGTGCCAAAAGTAATACTAAAAAGACCAAGTACAAATTTTGTATAGCAGTATACTCCAACCCCACCCTTATTTATTACTACAGTAATGAGTGTACTATGGTTTTCATTGTGAACTCACAGGGTTACTCCTCCTAAATGCAAACACCACTCTCATCAGAGACTCAAAGCTTGTGAAAAACTAGCCCCATGAAAAACCACCAAGGCATTGAGCAATTAGTACAACAATCACTATGCATAAAAACAAAAAGATCAAGAGTCACCCTAATACGAGACAATAAATATTCTTGTATTAATAAAAATAAATAAATTTTTTTCAAAAATTTCCCTAAAAAAATCTAGTAAGAACAAAAAATTGTAATATGTACATTGTTAAGAGGACAAGAGCGACGATATATAGAAGAGAAAACGAAGCGAAACAAGTTGAAGGTGATAGAAATAAAAATAAAGCGTAAATCGAAGGAGAGAAAAAAGAAGACGAACCGTTGTTGGTTGCGGTGAAAAGACACATCTTGTTTTGGTGTTCGGCCATGATTGTTGTTGTTGTTGTTGTTGGAAGAACAACAGCGTTTTATCTGAGAATCTGTAGCATTACACTGAGAGAGAAAGAGAGAGAGAGAGAGAGAGAGAGAGTCATGTAATTTGAGCATTCAATGTCATGATGAGTGATTTGGCATAAAACGGAAACACACAAAACCACATTATGCTAATAATAATATTATATTATCGAAATTTCTTTTTATAAGTTTTTTAATATAATATATTTTATGTTTGTGAAAAAAGAGGAGTCATCATGGAAGAAAAGAAGGTGAGAGGATCCAATTCCAAAGTTACCATAGCTTTCTTTGCCTTTGAAAAAAAATGTAAAATAACTTTTTATTTATTTATTAAGAAAGAGTCTTTTTTATTTAATTAGGGGTAATGTGAGAAATAACATGAGAAGTTAGATCAAAATTGATGGGACTAGATAGAAAAACGGGGATATAGATTCTCTCGTTTTCTTTGTCTGTCGTCTTTTCTTTGTTTTTGTTTTTTGTTTTGCTTCAATTTTAATTAATAATTTAGCTTTAAGACAATTTTTTTAAATTTATTTCTTTTTTTAGAATTTTTTGGTTGTTGGATTACAGAAATAAAGGATGGCAGCACATGAAAAGTCGGAGATAATCCGCACTCGAAATATGACTACCTTAGTAATAGTGTGGACTGCATACTAATTTGGTGGCACAATATAACTTCAAAATATAAATATCATTTATATCAATTGAAAATGGATCACCTAGTGTTATGTCTGCAGCTATCCCTCCACTGCTACATCTAATGGTTAAAAATTTATACAAGTTAAATAAATAAAATGAAGTTGATTTTAAGAAAGAGAAAAAATATAAATTGATGACTGAGATAGTGGCAGGATGGGCAACACGAGAGAATAGGTAGGAGAGGATCAAGATCTATATCAATTAGATTTCAAAATTAGGAACGACGAATTTTATACATTAAATCACTTTATTAACACCTTTATTTTTGTTAACATGACACGTCTCAATTAAGATGGTCTATAGACGGACCTTCTCCAGAGTTTTTTTTTAGAAACTCGCTCTTAATTATGGTTTCTCTTATAGATCTCCTAACAAGATGACCTCAAGATATACACGATATGGTTTGTTCTTGTCTGTCTCTCTACTAATATATCCTGATGAGTTGTCTTCGGGAGATCTTCTTATGCAACTAATATCATGTAAGGATGTGACACTTTATAAAATCATTGAATATAACTGGATATTATACTCCATGGACGAGAGCTAACTTGTTGTGTACACCCTCTAGGACCATATGCTCGTAGTATTTTTGTAAATATCTCATCAACATCTCTGTGGAGGATAATGACATGAGCAGTAACATTGGGATTTTTGGTTAACCCTGCAAATACTCGAACTGCCATAATACTTGCTCATGTGAATGTGGGTGCATAAGTTGATACCCATAAGCCAGTCATCCCAATTACAAAAATATCACTTCGAATGGCCTTGTCTCACCATATAATGTGAAAAATATACTATGCAGCGTGATGCAATCAAGAGAAACTCGAAACCACTCGGTTATTAGATTTTCCCTGAGTGGGATACTCGAGTAGGCACATGGCTATTCCTCATAGTAGTCTTCAACATATTTCTAATAAAAAAGACATGGAAAATGCTAGTGGATACATATCTGAAAATGGTTAGATGAAATATTAGTAAGAGTGTAGCACAAGTATAATTAATTAATATCAGTAAGGGTGTAAAACAATTACCGTAAATAGATACTCCCTCCGGTCTCATTTATAAGAAAAAATTAACTTTTTAGATACATTAAATAAGTAATGTATTTGGACAATATATTGTCCAAATACATTACTTATTCAATGTATATAAAAAGTTAATTTTTTCTTATAATTGAGACCGGAGGGAGTAGTTGTTTGTTGTCATTTGTCTCGTCTTCCATAAACTAATTTGGAGTAGAGATAAATCAAGCAAGCTACCCCCAGTTATACTCACGAAGTAAATGAAGCATTTAATGTAAATAACGTCGATATAGGTCAAACTTTTATCCATATGCTCGTGCTGACCAAAACCATGAATTATAACCAAGCACTTAGGTTTCAGTGGTAAAGGAGCTCTTGCAAAAGACGATAATCGAAAAATACCGAGTTTGATTTTTGGTGGGAATAATGTTTAGTCAGTACTATAATCTCTCGACACGAACTTTAGATTACTAGGACTCCTTTTCTCTGAGAACCAGTTTGCATAAAGTAAAAACAAAATCATGAATTATAATCTCAATTCACATTCTCTATAATATGTTTATATTTATAAAAAAAAGTTCATAAAAGAAAAGGAAAAAGTTACCAAAACACTTAGATGGTAAGAGATCTCTTTTAGATTAATAAAAGGTCTTGGATTCAAATCGAAACCTGCACACGCAATAATATTATTTTTTTAAAAAAAGTTTTATCATTCATTGTGATCCTCTTCTTCTCGAGGAATTAGTTTCTATAGTTACGCGCAGATAATATCTTATTTAAATTGAAAAAAAGAAATTGAGAGCATCCTCTAAAGTAATTTTTTTTTACATGCATTTTGGGACGCATCTTATAACACCTCAACGTTCATAAATCAAACAAACATTCTATTTTTGCCAAAAAAATTAATTCGGAGATGCATCTCCGAATTAAGTTTTAGTGCAATTTAGCTATTTTAATGCATCATCTCATTTTTGTCAAAAATAAATTAGAAGGCGCATTCCCAAAAAAATTCTTGAGTCTATTTTTAGCTATTTTAAAGCAACCACTTCATTTTTACCAAAAATTAATTTAGAAATGTATCTCTGAAAATATTCCTGAATATATTTTTAGCTATTTAAACGTTTGTATTTATATATTATGAACTATTTTTAGAGATACATCTTTGAATATACATCATAAAAATTTTATTATTTTATTTACGCTTATTCCGTATAAAAATTATGGGTTCAAAGATGAACCTTTTAAAATTGAGAATATTTTTAACTTTTGATAAGGGTTTGAGAGTACCTGCAAGAAATTACGATATAAAAAAAATGATGAGGACTAGACAGAAATATGGATACCTTAGTAATGATACGGACCGCATATTAGTTTGTCTATGAATAAAACCAATATCACTTTTTGTTCGTTAGTTTGGTCCAATATATTTCCGAGGTTTGAAGCAAAATTTTAGATGGAGGTATTTTGAAAATTAATAATTATTTTTATTTGTAGTTTTGCTTTTAAGAGAAATAAAGTGAATATTTTTATAGTTGATTCAAATTTTCTGTATGCAGATAGTGAAAATTGATTTTGAGTCGAACCATGAATTAAAATATAAATATATTTCATGAGTCAGGTTGAGCATAACATGCTGCGTGATTAAAAATTTAGCCCAGTTAACCTGTGACCAAAAACTAAAAGCATGCTTCTCATCTCTCTACTGCTACATTGTGAATAACTCAACTTTTATCATGTGAAATTCTCAATCATTGAGGCCTAAATTTAAGTGTATAAATGATTAAAACAATATTACAGGTTTAAACTCATAGCCTCATTTGCCTTAGACTAGGGCTCACTTTACATATAGAGATAGCGGCATCATGCACGCTTCTAAATTAATTTATTAATACTTATCTTTAATTTAAATATTTAATTTTAAGTTGTTTTATATATATATATATATATATATATATATATATATATATATATATATATATATATATATATATATATATATATATATATATATATATATATATATATATATATATATATATATATATATATATATATATATATATATATATATATATATATATATATATATATATATATATATTCTTAAATAAAATAAAAATTTATTTATAATTATTATCAAATAAAATACGATTTTATAAAATTTATAAATATATGTATTATATTATTTTTAAGTTTTTACAATGTGATTTTAAAATCTAAATTAAAATCGACTATCGCTTCTCATCTATTATTCATTGTAAATAAAATGATAAAAACTACTATACCATTAACTTTTATAAAATTGAAGCAAATTAAAATTATTTTAAAGACATAATATTTTTTAAAAAAATATTAAATATAGTAATTATTGTAAGAAAAATATAAATTTTGTTCTGTAAAATTTATGAGAATAATATATTCCTCTAGTTAGTAATTTATTGTTAGGTTAATATATCTTTAGATATAATTACTTTGAGATTAAAAATATTTAATATATTTTATTTCAATATATTATAATAGTTTTTTATGATTTTAAAGAACAAAATTTTATTTTTAGTGTTTAAATTCATAAATATTTTGTCTTTGTGAGTAGGGGTAGGAATATGTTAGACCAATTAACTGGAGTTGACGGTCTAGCCTACACAGGTTAGTTTTTTTTAAGTTTTTCGACCTAAGTTTTTTTATTAATCTATTTAATTAAATATGTTAGGCCATATGCCATGAGAAAAGCCTTTTAAGCCTTTGAGACTGACATATTATAATAAATATGAATAAATTTATTATTTTTATATTTTATTTTATATTTTATATTAAATATAAAATTAAAGCTTGATTATCTTGAAGAACTAGTGAAAATAAGTTGAAAAAACCTTATGAATAATGTCATAACTTATTTTCATAAATTTTCTCAAACAAATAAAGTCACAAAACTTATGTTATGTAAGCTCAAATAAGTCAATGCAAACAAATATTTAGTCTCATTCTATTTTTGATTCTCTAGTCTATTTGAACATTAGTGGAATTGCTTATTTACATATGTTTAAATGATATAGACTTTTTAAGTAGGCTAGTAGGCTAATCAGACCTTTGAAAAGGCTTGACTCAGACTGAAAAATAAACCTATAATAGGATACAGGCCAAGCTTAAGCTTTAAATTTTTTAGCAAGCCAGACTTAGGTTTGGCAAAGCCTAACATAGTCTAGCCTATTCTCACCCCTATTTGTGAGGAATTGAACTTGTGATTTCTAGTA